AGCTCTTTCCTCTATTTCCCTTGACTTTCCTCCTGAAATGACAAAGCTTTTTATAAACTTGAAGTCAGTCTGAATTGACAGTTATTTTTTAGATTCTTTTTAACGATTATGCCAGAAAGACTTGAAACTTTTCCAGTGATTTAAAAGCTGCATGCACAGCTAGTGAAAGTGAACTTGTTGCATGTAGGTGTTGGCTCAGTCCTTTCCAAGTGAGGACAAATTTACATAACATTAAAAGGTAAATACATGTTGTCTGTAAACCAGACGTTTCATAACCGGAACTTACTCTCTATGTGACTTCTTTATTTTGCTCCTAAGAGACAACTTTTTGAAAATTTGTCTTTTGACTCTTGACTTGAGTCAGTGTGATGATAGCAATGCTTTGTGAGATTTCCCCCCACCTTGTGTCCCCTGTGGTCTTTGGAGGGCGCAACTTTGACATCAGGTCATCATTCGTTGGCACAGGGAGTGTGTGGCAGGCTCAGGGCACCCAGTGCCGCGGGTGAAGAAACCAGAAACCCATTGCCCCAAGTTGATTCCAACTCAATCAGGACACGATCGGACAAATGAAAACTGCCCAGACGATTTGCAGCCCTGTCAGTCTTTATGGGAGCAGAGAGCCTCATCTCCAGAGGAGGCGCTAGTAGGCTTGAACTACTGACCTCTCGTAGAACAACCCAGAGAAGGCAACTCATTGGAATGACCGTTTTCTAGGCAAGTGAAGGAGTTTATCTCATTGTTAACTCATTGCCGTTGCCTTGATTCTGACTCTTCGTAGCCCATGGGACAGAGAAGTGCCTCACAGGGTTTCCAAGGCTGTAAATCTTTACTGAAGCAGACGTCCTCATTTTCCTCTGGCAGAGCAGCTGGTGGGTTTCAAACTGTTGACTTTTAGGATAGCCTCCGAGTAATTAGCCACTGCATCACCCAGGCTCCTAATTCATACTTAAGTAACTAATCTTAACCATCGAAGTATTTTCAACATTAAAAAATACTTTATGTCCACCAGCTGCTCCTGGGGAGAAAGCCTCAGGTTTCTACTCCCATAAGGAGTTCCGTCTCAGAAACTCACTGTCCTCTAGGGCTGCCGAGTCAGAACCGACTGGGTGGCAGTGAGCTTGGTTGGGCTCTATCCATGCTGTCATTTAATGTCAGATAAGAAAAGCATACGCTAGGCCTTACTATCTGCGCGTGCCAAGTGGGAGCACTGAAGCTTAGACAAAGCTTAGTCTTCTCCCCACAGTCCCTGAGCTGGCAAGCGAGGAGAGAAGCAGGACTCAAGTCCACCTCTGCCCTTCCCTTCCAAATCCAAAGAAAGGTGTCTTCTTAGCCGCAGTGTAGAGAGGACGCAGAGATAAGCCAGTACAGGGAAGGTGTTGAACGGTGAGTTCACACTAGCGAATGACATGAAAGACAATGGAGGAACTGAGATGTTAGGTCATGGGAAAGGACGCTTGAAAATCGAATCCAGATGGGACTGGGGGTGGAAAGTTTTGAAGGCTAGGCTTGCAAGCCTTTTGGGGATCCAATGGAAGTGCCCAGAGCAGGGGTCCTCAAACTATGGCCTGTGGGCCACATGCGGCCCGCTGAGGACATTTATCCCGTCTGCGGGGTGTTTTGGCCCCGTTTTGTTTTTTACTTCAAAATAAGGTTATGTGCAGTGCGCATAGGACTTTGTTCATAATTTTTTCTTAAACTACACTCCGACCCTCCAATGAGTCTGAGAGACAGTGAACTGGCCCCCTGTTTAAAAAGTTTGAGGACCCCTGGCCCAGAGCATATGAAGGGGTACCCCACCCCAATAAAAACATTTTTTTCAAAGCTATGTATTAATTTTTTTTTTTACAAAATAAGCTTATCACCTTCAAAGTACTCTCCACTATACTTAATGCATTTGTCAAATCTGCAATTCCATTCTTGGAAACATTTTTTCAAACTCATCTATTTGGCTCCTTCTGGAAACATTTTTTCAAACTCATCTGTTTGGCTCATCTGGCTCCTTCGTTTTTTTCTTACCTCTTCTAAGTCATCAAATTGCTGTCCTTTCATGTCCCTCTGCATTAGCAGAAACAAAAAGAAGTCACATGGAGTGAGGTCAGGTGAGTCAGGTGTGTGGGGCAAGAGAGGCATGCTGTTTTTTGTCAAAAGCTGGTACACTGAGGTGGCTTTGTGAGCAGGTGCACTGTCGTGGTAGCAAAACCAGTCCCCCAATCTGCCACTAATCAGGCCTTTTTTGTTGTACACAGTTACACAATTTTTCCAGAACCTCTAAATAGAAAGCTGGGTTAACAGTCTGACCTAGTGGAATGAACTCCAAACGCACTACGCCCCTCCCAACACATCCAATTTGGGGGGATACCCCCTCGTATGTCTCTTGAGCCTGTTGATGGGTGGGACACTATGCTTAGGACAAAGGATCTAAATGTATAAACTGGTTCTTGTCTCCTGTGAGGTCACAATATTTTTTTAAAATAGAACAATACAATTGGCATAGGACCAGTTTATTTTTTATGGATCAGTTTTAAAGGATGAACTTATTGCCTTTTAATATACCAATGCTGCTGTTTTCATTTACAGTTAAAGCGAGGGTAATTAGAACAGGTTTTCAGTAATTATACCTTTCTTTCCTTTGAAACTCAGCAGAACTGCAAGCCCCTAAGCCTGTAGGTTGCGTGGCATCCTGGCCAGCGATCTGGAGGCCAGGGCCCCGTCTGGAGTCTGTTGGGACTAGAAACTGCTTCTGAATTACATTTCATCAAAAGTTTTCATATTTAAGTAATGATAATTTATAATTTATCAAGGGGTCACGAGGTGGGGGGAGGGAGGAAAAAACAGGAGCTGATACCAAGAGTTCAAGAGAAAGTAAATGTTTAGAAAATAGTGACAACCAATCTTTGCTTCCTTATTTAAAACACAAGCCAAAAAACCTAAATCACTTTTAAAAGCAATCCTCTTGATGGTAGGTAACCACTGTGGGTTAGCGCTATTATATCTACTTTTTTTTTCTTTCCAGAATTTCATGTCATCAATTTGCGACAGTCTTTTTGAAGCATTATTTCCTGGGTCTTCCTATCCAACTAGATTTTCAGCTTTAACCATTTTAGGCTCAATAGCTGACGTTTTTCCTGTCTCTCAAGGTAAGTATACCATAATGCTAGTGAGAGTTTTTTTCTTTTCAGACATTCCACTCTTCAATATTTTCCTTTCCTTGACGTTTCTGTTTTGTTGTTCTTGTTTAGGGAAGTCTTCCCCTTCGCATAGTTCTCCTTTGGCTACCATTAGCTTTGGCAGGAGGGAGAGAGATGGTTTTCACTAATCATTATATACCAACCCCACACTAGAATTTTCATGGGCTGTGCTTCTTACAGGGAGACGTCTTTCACTCAGAGGTCCCCCTCCCCCTGCCCTAATTTGTTTGCTGCTCTTTTAAGATATTGCCCAATTTGTTTTTTAAGCAACAACAACAAATTAAAAGAGCAGTCTTATGTATAACATTTCTCAACAAGTCTTGTGGTTACTGTGTGCGTTTCCTTCTGTGCTGTTGGTTTCGTAAGCTCCAGTCTGGTTTCAGAAATATAATAAGAAGCTGTCATTTCCAGGCATTCGGATTTAATGGCAACCCTTTGTTTTTCCTTCTCGGGGGTGCTCAAGAAGATGAACATTTAGCCTCCCTCTTCCACTTTCTTTTTGTTTTTCTTCTCCCTTTTCCTTTTTTGACAAGAAATAATTATTTTTAAAATATGTTTTCTTTTTTTTAATAAGTTTTGTTGGCACCTGATTTATATATCATACAAGTCAATCATTCAGTCATATCAAGGAGAATTGTGCAATCATCACCATATCAATTTTAGAGCAAAAATGATTCTTTATTCTTTAAAATGCATGTTTTAATGTGCATTTCCCCTGTGTGCTCAGTGTCTCTGCCGGTGGTCAAACAGGACATTGTTCTGCTCTGCCTTGCTCTTTCTGAGGGAGTGGACACAGGACTGGAATACTTCCCACTGGTGTTGGGTTCTTTTTCAGTTTAAATTTTTAAGCAAATATGTATATAGTTGTCTTGAGGGGGTGGGGGAAGTTGATTACTACAAATACAGGCTCACTTCATTTGGTGGTGAGGGGGGCGGGGGAGATGTCCTGCAACTTCTTAAGTTGAAAAAAGTTCAGCCCAACAGCAAAATGCCTGGAATCACTCCGTGAACAGCCATGCACCTTCTTCTTTGATCCATCGGTCAGTAATATTTTGAAAATTTGCTTTATCTCACGAATTATGTAAATCACAACACGATGATAGAATTTAATAAATTGAGCATTGATACAATCCTATTATCTAATATAGAATCCATATTCAAATTTTACCAGTTGTCCCAATATGCGGCCTTTTACAACAAACAACGTATTTTTTTCTATGATCCCAGGCTGGGTCCACGTCTCCTTTTGTTGCCATGCCTTATTTAAAAACAAGTTCTCAGTACATTTAAAGTCATTTCTAGTCATACTGAAGGAGAGCCCTGGTGATACACTGGTTGAGTACTCAGTTGGCTGTTCACTGAAAGCTTGGTTGTTTGAACCGACTAGTCACGGCAGCAGTTTGGTTCTGTAAAGATGACCATACCAAACTCCCTGTCATCGAGTCCATTCCAACTCATAGCAAACCCGGTCGGGTAGAACTGCTTCTCTGGTTTTCGGAGATTGAAGCTCTGCAAGGTTAGAAAGCCTCATCTCTCTCCCACAGGATGGCTGGTGGTTCTGAACTTCTGACCTTGTGGTTAGCAGCACAGCACATTACCCACGACACCACCAGAGCTCCTCTATAAAGATGGCATCCTGGGAAATCCTAGGGGGTGATTCTACTCTGCCCTCTAGGTTGCTGTGGATCTGAATTGACTCGATGCATACAGGTTTATGTTATCATCTAGAAGTGTGTGAAATAACAGTCGGCTGGACTGTGCTGGTAATTTTTAAATTGAGAGAGTTTACTTTAAAAGTAAAAATGTAAAAGCCTAACTTATCTTCTTAATGACTGAGCTACATATAACTGGGCAGTGATCAATAACACAGTAATTATGTTAATTAAGCATCAAGTAGAATCCAGTGCATAGCGGTGACGGTATTTGGGATTCTGAAGGCTTTACGGGAGCACATGGCCTAGCCTCATCTGTCTCCTGAGGAGCACCTGGTGGGGTTACAGCCCTACCTTGCAGTTGGTAGCCCAGCCGTCCCCTACAGCACCACCACTCTCCATGACATTAAAGGAGGCTATACAGAGCACAGAATGTTTTTGGGTGCTGTCGAGGCCACCCTGACTCAGGTGACAGGGTCAACCTGTCCCACAGGGCTTCTCAGCAGCTCACCCGGTCTTTCTGTTGCAGCGTTGTTGGGTGGCCTACACTGCCATCCTTTCAGTTAGTAGCTGCACCCTTGGTCATGGCTCCGCCAGGACTCTGGGCAGTGCAGTGGAGGGTGGGAAATGCAAATGTATGCTCCGTCGTCATCATAAGGACTTTTAATACAGGGTTTGAATATTTGATAAAAGGACAAACAGTAATTTGGATTAGTCCAAATAGTTTTCGGCTCTTTCTCAAGCATATCCTGCATCTTCGTTTCCCACAGCTGGGGTGCCTTTCAGCCACAGAAATGTGTTGTCTCATAATTGTGGGCCGTCGAAGTCTACACCAGGGTCCTGGCTGTGCCGAAGCCTGAAGGGGCTCAGAGAGGACGGACCTCTCCCTGCTCTCCAATTTCTGGTGACTGTTGGCAAGCCTGGGCATCGTTTTGTTGCATCTTAGTGTGCTTTCGAAGGATCTGCTTTTGGTGCCCGCCATATCCCTCTGTGTCTTCTCATTTGAAGACAACACTCAGAAGGGATTATGATCAGGACCCACCCTACTTTCAGATCACCTCATTTAACTTAACTAGTATCTGAAGAAAAGCCCTATTTCAAACAAGGTCATGGTCACAATTACAGGGTTTCGGATTTCATTTCATAGTAGGGGCTTGAGTCAGTACATAATGCCAATGGCTAAGAGTAACCCTCCTGTATCTGCCTTACTAAGAATCACATGCCACAATTCATAGCGTGAACATCAGATCCCAAAGGTAGATGAATAGTTTGACCAGAAACTATTTTTTTAGGGCTTATTATATGTCAAGTTGTGTTCTAGGAGTCAAAAGTACACAGTGGACAGAACAAAATATTGAAGCTTATAGTTTAGTGGACAGAGAGTCGAAACCACACTCACTGCCATGAGTTGACCTGACATCTAGGACAGAGTAGAAACCTGTGGATTTCTGAAACAGTCCATTTTTATGGGCCTACAAAGGCTATCTTTCCCCTGAGACCAATTATACCACCAAGGTTCCTGACTTTGTGGGAGGGGACAAGCAACAAATTAACAAGTAAACACATGGAATTTCAAATAGAAATAAGTGCTTTGAAGACAACTTTCATGAAAGAAATATTTCATGTAGTGGGGCCAGAAAAAGCTTCAGACTTGAGCAGAATTTGGGAACCGTAAATCAAATAAGTCATAAAGGAAATTAAAAAAAATAATTTGAGATGATTGAAAATGAGAAGATGACATGACAAAACTTAGGCGATACAGTGAAGGAAGTGTTTGGGGGAATTTTATAACTGTATGTGCTTACATTAAAAAAGAAGAGAGATCTCAAATCAACATCCTAGCATGATACCTCTAGGAATTAGAAACAAAAGAGCAACTGAAACCCAAAGTTAGCAGAGGGAAGAAAAGAATAAAGATCAGAACAGAAATGAGTGAAATGAGAATAGAAAAACGATAGAGCTATTCTAGGATACAAAAGAGACTCAGATCTCAAATGTAACTTACGGCAGGGGTTCTCCACCTTCCTAATGCCATGACCCTTTCATACAGTACCTCATGTGGTGGTGACCGCCGCCCCCCCATAAAATTATTTTTGTTAATACTTCATAACTGTCATTTTTCTACTACTGTGAATTGGCGACCCCTGTGAAAAGGTCGTTTGACCCTCCAAAGGGGTCACGACCCACAGATTGAGAACCACCGACTGAAGCAGAACATTTATGAAGTCTTAAAAGGGACAAAGAACACAAAGACACAGGCACATCATCCAGATGAGGGAGGCCATTAGAAGAGGTCGCCATGTTGTCCAAGGATGCTAGTTAAATAAGACCTGGAACAATGCAAAGAGGCACAAATTGATGATTGGTGGTAGATCAGCCCCTCACAGTTACTGATAGTCCTACAGGTGGAAGCAGGAACAGGGTCATGATTAGGGCACACACATTATGGTAGAAGACGGGCTTACAAGATGGGTCCAGGGCCTTCCTACCAAGACAGTCAGGGTAGGACTGATAGATAGCCAGACTTATGACCATTTCACCCCGTGGACAGTCTCCAGCACTGTGATTTCCCTCAAGGACACTCCCAGTCAGGCCCCTAAGAGACTGCCCCTCCCTAGGCTGATTGGAGAGGGGTGGAGGCAGTCCACTTTCCAAAAGACCCTGTAAGAGGGCAAGATTACCTACATCCTTGGGGAACGACCAGAAGGAATTCAGTGGTGACCTACACCATGGGGAGACTGTGAATGGATTTTGGACTGTCACTGTCATCTATACCGTCTGCAAATGGGGTGCCCTGAATTTAAGCTCCAGTACAGAATAAACCAACACTTGTGGTTTGAAAACAATCAACAAAATGGACAAACTTAGAGCCAGGCTAAGGAAAAAAGAGAAAAATACAGATAATTAAAGATAGAAATGAAAGTGGGGACATTACTACTGACTTTACAAAAATTAAAAATAATAAGACAATACACCATGATCAGAATAGAGGGATAAGAGGTGTAGATTCCTAGAAACACAACAACTACAAAAACTGACTCAAGAAGAAATGGAAAATTTGATCACACTGCAAGGGAAGGGATTGAATCAGTAATTAAAAAAACCCTAGTCAGTGGGCTTCCACAGCAGAATTGCCAGAGCGCACACTTGAGAGAGAGACTGTTTTAATGTTTATCTCTTGGTTTTCTGAGTTGATTTTGAGATGCAGTCCTCGATTTCTTGCACCTTCAGGAATGTTTGTATTGCTCTTACACTTGATGGGGAGACAGTTGTTTGTGTAGCTCTGTGCCATACCTTTCCCCTGATGATTTCCTAGGTGTTCTCTGCCGTTTTCTAGAACTGCACACGGATGTGGTAGAGTGACACCTGCCCTTTTTTTTCTTTCCATTTTTTAGATAAATTGAACATTTTGATCTGAATAGCAAAATGTTTTCTTCTTTATTGTAAAAGTTCTCCTTTATTGTTGATACAGAGTAGCTCTGTTAGGATATATGAGTTTTATCAGACTTATTCGGTGTAAGTTTGTCCTGAGACATGGTAACACGTTGGTTTCAGGTCAAAAATTCTATGAAGTTTTTTTTGTTTGGTTTTTTAAAATCATTTTATTTGGGGCTCGTACAACTCTCATCACAATCAATACATCCATCCATTGTGTCAAGCACATTTGTGCATTTGTTGCCATCATCATTCCTAAAACATTTGCTTTCTACTTGAGCCCTTGGTTTCAGCTCTTCATTTTCTCCACTCCCTCCCTGCTTCCCCCTCTCTCCTCCCTCAGGAACCCTTGATAATTTATAAATTATTATTATTTGTCCTATCTTACAATGTCAAATGTGTCCCTTCACCCAAATTTCTGTTGTCCATCCCCCCAGGGAGGAGGTTAAATGGAGATCCTTATAGTCAGTTCCCTCTTTCTACCCCACCTTCCCTTCCCCTTTCTACCCTACCTTCCCTTCCCCTTTCTACCCCACCTTCCCTCCACCTTCCCATTTTCGCCACACTCAGCACTGGTCCTGAAGGGATCATCTGTCCTGGATTCCCTGTGTTTCCAGTTCCTATCTGTACCAGTGTACATCCTCTGGTCTAGCCGGATTTGTAAGGTAGAATTGGGATCATGGTAGTGGTGGGGAAGGAAGCATTTAAGAACTAGAGGAAAGTTGTATGTTTCATCGTTGCCACCCTGCACCCTGATTGGCTCTTCTCCTCCCTGTAACTCTTCTGTAAGGGGATGTCCAGTTGCCTACAGATGGGCTTTGAGTCCCCACTCTGCACTCTCCCTCATTCACAATGATACGATTTTTTGTTCTTTGATGCCTGATAACTGATCCCTTTGACACCTCGTGATCACACAGGCTGGTATGCTTCTTCCATGTGGGCTTTGTTGATTCTGAACTAGATGGCTGCTTGTTTGCCTTCAAGCCTGTAAGACCCCAGATGCTCTATCTTTTGATATCCGGGCACCATCAGCTCTCTTCACCACATTTGCTTATGTGCCCATTTGTCTTCAGCGATCATGCCGGGAAGGTGAGCATCATGGAATGCCAGTTTAATAGAACAAAGTGTTCTTGCATTGAGGGAGTACTTGAGTGGAGGTCCAATGCCCATCTGCTGCCTTAATACTAAACTTATACATATATGCATATAGATTTATTTCCCCGTCATCATATATAAATATATTTGCATATGTACGTGCCTGCATGTAGACCTTTATAAATGCCCTTTGCCTCCTAGCTCTTTCCTCTATTTCCTTTTACTTTCCTCTTGTCCCACTATCATGCTCAGACATCTGTGAAGGTTTTTTAAAGGTGTGATCCTAAATTTTTTACTTATTATTTAAGAAAATAACCAAGAATCTCTGTCACATACCGTTAGAGAGGGATGGTTTATGCATATTTGTAAACATATTCATGTTCATTTTTTATGTGGAAAACTTAATACTGATTATGTTGATATAAAAATTATTGTATTGTGGATAAAATATGAAATGAGGATTTTTTGTGCTGTTTGTCTATAAATCTAGCCAAATAACATTGAAAGTGTAATATTTTTTTTAAGTTTTTTCAAAAAAATTTTTTTCACTTCTAAAGTGATGTTTTTTGGTTGTACTTTGTATTTTTTAGGTAAAATTCCAACAGTGTATCAGCTGAGTCACGATATTGATGCCGGCCGTATCCAAACACTACTGGAATGCTTTTCTAGCGCTTTTGAGGAAGTGAAATTTTTAGCTTTTGACCTTTTGATGAAGTTGACAAAAACCGGTGTCCAATTTCAGGTATCTAGGCTTCTGTGTAAATGTAAATGTGATGTGTGCCTGGAAATGGGCTGTTTGAGCAGCAGGTGAAGAGCCTGTGGCCTGTTGACTGAGTTAGCCTTGGCCTCGACTGTTGTGGGCTGCTAGGCGGGTGGTGCTGAGGGGGAGTGGCGGGAAAGGCGATCATCGGGCAGTGAAAACAAGATGAAAACCAGTGAGCTTACCTTTATTTAGTGCTCTGCCACCCGGGAAGTGTAGGAGGCAGGTGGTTTTATGGTTTCCAGGATGATTAATGGATTTCTGCTAACTGCGTTCTTCTTAGTTAGTTCCTTTGGACATGTTCGTATTTGGTCAGAAGATCTCATTTACAGTAAGTTGAGGCTTTTTGAGATAATCTCCCTCTTTAGGAGGTTAGGAAGTGGAATATAAGTGAGGTATAAAATGTAAGTGAGGTTTCTGGTCTCCGAACAAGCAATAACTAAACTGAGACTGAAACCCAAGCATTCTTGCGGTTAGCAGCACGTCGCTGCCTAAGCTCTCTGCTCCTTCACCTGCCCCCACATTCCTGCTCTGATGCTCTGCTCTGACCTTGGGTTGGGAACCAAGGATGGTTTCCACACTTGGTCAGTGGTGGCCCATCATAGCCATGGGTCTGCTGGGAAGCCCCTTGTCCATGTGGTCAGATCTGCTCGGGAGTCCCCAGTGGAGTGCTGGCTCTGGAGCAGTGGTTCGCAACCTTCCTCATGCCGTGACCCTTTCATACGGTTCCTCATGTGGTGCTGACCCCCAACCATAACATTATTTTCGTTGCTACTTCATCACTGTAATTTTGCTACTGTGATGAATTGGGTGTCCCTGTGAAAGGGTCATTCGACCCCCAAAGGGGTCATGACCCACAGGTTGAGAACCACTGGCTCTAGAGCTTCAGTTTCTAACTTGTCCGAGGCAGACTTCGGAACTACAGATGAGCTATAGTCTGAGCCCTCCCTGCCTGTTAAATTCTACCTTGGGCCGAGTGGACCTTCAGGGTCGAAGGGATCATGCAGGAGCACATGTTAGAGAACAAGAAATGTCTGTTTCCCTCGTTTTCAGACAGCAAGATCCCGGAGTGTGTCTTGTGGTGGAGGTCCAGATGGGAGTTTTCTCCCCAGCATCCATTCCTCATCACTGGGACCTTTCAGGCTCTCTCATGTGCACAGTGCTATTTGGTGCAGTGGCTGCTCATTTTAGACACTGTGTTTTGGCTTTTTTCCAGAAGACTCTTCTGTTTTTTTGCCCCTTGCCATTTGTCTCGCTGTATCTTGGCATCATATGTAACCATGGTATTCTCATTCACAGCCATTACCTTCTGAGTATCTGGAGTAGGGAAGGTCTAATACCGAATTGAAAGCCTTGGTCCTCATATGATCTGTAAAGGGCCCGCAGGCATCTCTGCGTCTCCAGTTTTGTTCAGTGTGCATATAAACTCCGAACTACAGAATTCAGGAAACTTAGTACAGCGTATGACTGACTATGGAGTCTTTGGGTGACGGAAGTGTCCAAGCCCTTGGCTGCTAACTAAACATTGGTGGTTTGAATCCCCCCACCAGCACCTAGGAAGAAAGGCCTGGGAATCGACTTCTGAGTGGGCACAGCCGTTGAAAACCCTCTGAACACAGTTCTACCCTGGTACACCCGGGGGTGCCAGCAGTTAGAATCAACTTGATGGCAACATATTAAAAAAAAATTTTTTTTTATAGCTGTGTTCATCTGAATTTGTTTTCTCTAGTTCAAGTTCTACACAATCAATGGGTTGATGTGTTAGTCTGGGTTGACTAGAGAAACAAATTCATAAACACTCATGTGTATAAGAAAGAGCTTTATATAAGGCGTAATTGTACATTAAGAAGACACCCCAGCCCAGTCCAGATCAAGTCCATAAGTCCAATATTAGCCCATATGTCCGACACCAATCTGTAGTCCTCTGCAGACTCAGGAAACCCATGCAATGATGGGCAATGCAGGAAGATCACAGGCCAGTGGGTGGGAAGTCTTGTGGATCCGTGGCAGTGGAAGCATCTCAGCACTGGCAGGGCTCTCCACGTGGCTCCTCCAGCTCCATTGGAGCTCCACGTGTCTTGTCAGCAGCAGTGTCTCCCAGGGAGTGGACCTGCAACCTGCCTCCAGGGGGCTGTTTATCTCTTTAGTGCCTCCAAATGAGGTCTTCAAGCTGCGATCTGATTGACAGGCCAAACTTCACCCCCTCACTCTTAATTGAGCCTCTCAAATTGACAACAGATTATGTAACTACCACAATAGGTTATTGAAGGATTTTGGTGAAACCCGATTTGGCTTGCCTATTAGTAAGGCTGTCATTGGAATAGGGCATTCAAGATTCTTTTTTCCCTGGCAAACCGGAAACTGAAAAAGCCTTCCTTTTAAGGGGGAAGCCAAGGGGTGGGGGCCAACTTGAAGACAGCTAAGGATAGCAACAGCATACTTTATTGTATTTGTAATATATTGAAAGGTTTAGGAATATTAATTTTAGATTAAGTTTTCGATGCCTTGTTTTGAGTCTCACTCACTCATGAGTCAATGCTGAAGCTTAGCCACCCTGACAGACTAAGTGGAACGGCCCCTGTGGGTTTCTACACCCTTAACTCTGTGCGGCCGAAAGCCTGGTCTTTCTCCCTCAGGGACGCTGGTGGCTTCCCTCTCCTGGGTAGCCAGTGGGTAGCAGTCGGGGTATGCCCTAGATAAGAAAAACATTTTTTAAAGAAAAATTTAAATATAATTACGTTTTAGACATTTAAAAAGGCCAACCTAATTTCTCCAATGATATAATCTAGGGGGCTTCAGAAAATTCATGGAAAAATTGATTTTTAATTGCATTTTGTTACCAATTGTTTGAAACCGCCTTGTATATGTACACATTAGGATTTTGATGATATGTTCTAATATATGACTTTGGAGTTCACCTAGTTTACTACCCCCCCCCCCCCCCCCTTTCTCTTTTGAGCTACATATCTTGAGTCTTTATTTTCTAGTTTGATTCATTGAGGATGACAGAACAATGACATTTCTATATCAAAGCCTATCTATTTTGAGTCTTACTATTTGATTACAAAGCCTACTGACTATGTTATGAAAATAATTCAGATGCTTTAGGCCAATATTGTCCTAAACTAAAAACTGAACTAAAAACTTATGATTTTTAGTTCATAGAAAATTAAAGTGAACAGTAAATGTTTAAACCATCAATAAACTGACATTGCAATCATTTAAACATTTTTATAAATGTCATTAAAATCTGTACCTATAATCAACTTCAAAATTTAGCCTCAGTCATCTTTCCCCTTATAATTTGACAGTTCGAGACTAATCCTAGTATGATCAGAATATTCTTGAGCCAACCCAGCTCTGCGTTCCAAGCACCAGGCAGCTTATCAGCCAAGGACTTGGGATGAGGGCCGCATCTCCTATTCGAAGTGCAGTGTTTTTCCAAGTGCCATGAATTGCCCTTCCTTCTGTCTCCTTCAGGATAGTGTATATGAGTAGATGTTTGTATGAGATAGAGGTGTGGGAGCCTTGGTGCAGATTTTCTGAGGACTGCTTTTATCGACATCAGATGTGTGGAGACTGAGGAGGAACAACCTCTCTGGCTTTGTCTTTTCCCCCTGAGCTAGCTGTATAGGAAGGGAGTCTGAGGGCCAGGTACAAGGTAAACCCTGATAGACAAAAGCATTCCGACTCTGTATGGATTGCCATAGCAAAGTTGCCATAGGGGGAAAATACACTTTTGCTGAAAGAAGAAATTTGAATTTTTAAAAATAATTAATTTTTGATACCCACGGCCACGCAGTTGATGACCACTCCCAGTGACCCTGTAGGACAGAGTAGAACTATTCTTTAGGGTCTTTGAGGCAGTCAATCTTTATAGGAGCAGATGGTCTCATCTATTGGTGGTTTGAATTGCTGGCCTTTCAGTTAGCAGCCTAGCGCTTGGTCCATGGGGCCTCCAGGGCTCCTAAAAAGAAATTTCACTATGTTGAGTTCCTCATTGAAATTATTTTTAAAAAGATTACTAAGTCCTCCATGTCTATAATTAAATCTCTTGATGTTGAGTCATGGCAGATTCTGTTTGTAAATATGTGTTGTTCCTTCCATTCAAAGAACTCTTTCACTGATGGTGCTGAGCGTGTGTTTCTATCTTAGGATTCGGAGAAACTGCAAGACTTATTCCAGGCAGCATTGGAGCTGAGCACCAGCACCAAACCCCATGACTGTGTGACCGCCTCCTGCCTGCTGAACCTCCTCATCGGGCGAGATGCTCTTCCGGCATCCCTGCCCGCCTGCTCACAGGGTCAGCGGGTTGCGTGTGGAGCCGGGGAGGAGTCTGCTCTTGCGGTGGAGAGGAACACGCTAGTGGGTTTGTATTGAGTCAGTGACCTTTGCTATTTACTTGGTCAGAATATCTAATGATAAAACATTTACTTTGTGTTTTTCATTTTTTATTTAATAATTTACCAGCAGGGGAGACTACTAGAATTTCTCTTCAGCAGCTGGATATTTTCTCAGCTGTAGCTTTCTGTTGAATGTGGTTTTGAATAGGTGATTCCTGTTAAATGCGTAGATGTACAGATACCCACGAACACAGTTCTTTTTAAAGACAACTTTCTCTGAAAGAAGTGAACCCCCACCCCCCGACATTTCACTCTGCGATTAGTCAGCTGGTCTGCATGATTTCTGCAGAGACGGAAGTTCCTTTGTTGGTGGGATTTATGGTCTCACGGACTGTCACACCACCACCTTCCCCTACAGTCCATTTTAAAACTTAGCTTCTGAGACTGTTTAGATATTCGTGTTTTTCACCAAACATTTTAGGGATTCTTGAGCTGTAAATGAGGACAGTTGTGGATTTTGAGCAAAGAAAAGAGAGGCCTGTTAGAGATGTTCTCCCCATGGTGGTGAAGTAAGCCATGCAAAAGAGAACGGTGCTAGGGAAAAGTTGTCAGGGCATGGTCTGGAGTAAGTGGTTCGGGTTTGGCATTGTACTCTGAATTTCTGTTTAAAAAAAAAATTCTTCCTTCAGAGAAAGAATCCAGGAGTGAGCCAGGATCGCATGCTGTCTATAAAGCATTCAAATTCAAAGCTTTTTAAAGCTCTAGCATTTTATTAACTATTTATTTAATTTTAAAAACCATTTTATTGGGGGCTCTTACAGCTCTTCTTCCATACATCAGTTATATCAAGCACATGTGTACATATGTTGCCATCATCCTTTTTTAAACATTTACTTTCTATTTGAGCCCTTGGTATCAGCTCCTCTTTTCCCCGTCCCTTCCCGCTTCCCATCCTTGTGACCCCTTGGTAAATTATACATTACTATTGTTTTCTTATCTTACACCGACCACTGTCTCCTTTTCCCCATGTTTCTGTTGTTCCTCCCCGTCAGTTTAAATATTTAAACAAACACGAGGAGTGATTGATGCACAGGGACTTAGGGAAGGACCCTTGGGTCTGCGCTGGAGGATACCACATGTGAACTAGACATGATGCACAGGCTGGAGCAAAGATGGAAGAGCTCACTTTGACTCAGAACCTCCAGTGCCGTCGTTCACAGAGTTGGGTGTTGGCACGGCAGTTGTTTTCGCCATTCTCACACTTACACAGCTGTGCTTTCCAACCGATACGACGTGGCCTTTCTATCTGCTCTGTCTAGTGATCAAATGCCTGTTGGAAAATCTCGAGGACGAAATCTCTCAGGCTGAACAGTCTCTGCTCCGGGCTGCAGCATCGTTTCCAATGTACGGGCGCGTCCACTGTGTCACCGGAGCTTTGCAGAGGTTACCTTTAAAGTAAGTGCGTTCCCAGCCGAAACCTCAGCACTCCGCACCAGGCTGTGCCCACTCTCCGGGGAGAGGAGTGCGGTTCCCTGCCTTACGGATGATGGGACATCAGAGGGGACCCTGGCAGGTGTTCGGTCTCTCTCATAGGTGGCACGCTTTTGAAACAAAGCGTTTCTCATTCCTTTTTTCTTATGCCCACTTTGGAAAATGCACTTTTGCGTCCCGTCTCGTTGCAGCAGCCTGGCCTTGGTGCGTGAGTGGACGCCCGTGGTGGAGAAGCTCCTTGTGGTGTCGTACAGGCTGTCTGCCGTGGTGTCTCCCGTCATTCAGAGCTCCTCCCCCGAGGGCCTCATCCCCATGGACACTGACTCAGGTCAGCAGGGAACGAAGGGGAGAGTGACTGGGTTTGATTATGATCTTTTTCTTTTCTTTCTGTTTTTATTTTTGATTGTTATCGTTTTCTTTCCCCTAAGAAAAAACGAAGAAGCCTCTGTTGTTAAGTGACATCAGTCAGTCCAGTTCGTAGCGGCCCTGTCTAAGGATGCCACCCATGAGCCCTCCCCAGCCCTGTGCCGGCCTCGTGTCTCGTGTTCCGTCTGAGCCCACCGTGGCAGCCTTTGTGGCTGTCCGTCTTGTCGAGGGAGCTTCCTGTCTGCCGCTGCCCCTCGGCTTTACCACGCATGAGGCCCTTCTCCAGGGACTGGGCGCTCTAGACAACATAGCCAAAGTGCTGTTGAGTGTGGGGAAGGAGAAGGGCTTATTCATACAGGAAACCTGGTAGCAGTGGAACGAGATGGAACGAGGGCCAGCCTGTTTCTCCAGATCTCCAAGCTTTTCTGCTCTGTCTCGGTGTTGTCTTGTGTTAGTGGGAATCTGTGAGTTTCCCTTGCTGACAGGTTTCTGCTGGACAGAAGCTCTGGCTGTTACAGGTTATCTGTAGTAGTCGTGGCACTTTTGCCTTGCTCATAATATGTGTTAGCTATTGAAACATAATCAGGTGCTGGGCAAGGTATCTCCTCCCCTGTGTCAAGTTAGAGTATTTTAGAACACAGCCTATCAGATGGGTGATGGGGACTGGAATCAGGTAGGATGTGTTCAATAGGTGGAGTTCAGTCAGGTAAGGCGAGACGTTAGGCATTGTGGACTGGCAAAGACAATTTAATAGTACAAAAACTAGATAATGAAAATCACAACTAGAAGGAGATACTCACCATGTCCAAAGTTGAACTCATTTACTTTCCTCTGCCTTTTCTCCCCCAACTCGCTTCGTTGTGAATGGTCCTCCCACTAGAGTCTAAGGATGCAAGTCACTACTCTAGTGCCGCTTGTAATTTCCCCCTGCATCCTCATACCTGGCCTGGCTCCAAGCTTTTAGAGTGTTGTACTTTACCTTTATTCCCAAATACATAAATACAGATCTGCAGCTCCTCACACAACTCATGTTCCTGCACCCACTATTCACCTCCTCCTAAGTCCTTCTCATTGCATCCAAAATAATCTGCTCAAAGTATGTAATTGATCACATTGCACATAATCTTCACGTAACCCATGTATCCTGTCCACCCCTCCCCACAACCTTGTTTTAAATCCATCGGGGACCCCGGACCGGGTGCTGTCTGGCTCCTGCTACTTCTCCAGTCTCTTCCTGTGGAGTTTTTCTTCGTGGAATTGCACTTCTGTAGGGAGCCTGCCTGTATTTTGTTCCCTGGGTCCTAGCACAGTGCCCGGTGGAAGTAAATACACAATACATATTTGTTGGGAATGAATGAATAAGTGACGAAAAAATTCCTTGTAAGGCCAGGAGTCAGACTCAGTGCCTGAGGTCTGAGGTGGCCTATTCTGGCCCTACAGCTAGTCAGAAAGGATTGCCTGTGAAGATGTATGCTACCTGTGATTGCTCCTGTACACACAGAAAATCATAAAGCACATTTACACTGGGTGTTGAAATAAAAGTGTCGATGCATTTTGGAGCACAATGTGAGGTGTGTTGTGAAAACATCTTGTGTGTATCATGAATACACACTGCAATTCTTGGGGCTGATTTGTTGAGAATTAGAGTAACCTGGAGATGTATGTTTCCCTTAGACCATGATCGTTTTTTACTGTAAAGGTGTCATGGGGGCCACGTCGGACTACCTCTGGCTTCACAAGAAGGAAGGGGAATCACAACTCCACAGCAGCCCCAGGCTGGTTCCTGTGAGCCAGCCTTCACCCTCTTCACCTTCTTTACCAATTTTGACACCAACCGTCCTTCCCAAGTCACTTGCTACAACTCTGCTGGGTTCTCCCTCACTGCAGTGGCCACACCGTTCGTAGAGTACTCACTGTTACAGAGTTTATAAGGGAAGTTAGCAGCCCACAATTAAGGATCAGAAACAACCCAGGATGTCATTGTTAGGTGAGGAATGTTTATTCTCAGCTGCATTGGGAGGCACGCCTCGCTTTCATACTCTGCCTCTCAGCCAGATCGCCCTTGGGTCTCTGTCCTGCTTAGGCTCTGTGACAAAGCTCTATTAGCCCTGCCAATAAATTTCCCAAAGATGCTTGATTCCACCATCAGTAGACTTCAGCCAGCAGGCACTCGGCATGATACGTTCTGTGGACCGGAAGTCAACTGCTCTCTCTCGTGCCCTGACTCTAGGCTCTGCAGCTCCCTTCCCTCTGTGCCCCTCCTCTAAGGTTGCCACTCTCCCTCCATCTTCTGGATCCAGAGGTTCAGCTTGCAGGAATCCTGGGGCCCAAAGGACATGCCCTGCTCCTGGCTCCTCCTTGATGATAGTGAGATCCTCCTTCCTGCATCTGAGAAGGCTCACTTTAAACTGAGCAGGATGGCAAAACTGAACAGTCCCCATATCAGGGTGCATGCACCCTGTTTGCTTGGTGATTTGGTGGGAGTTACAAAGACTATGGCTAGAGGAACCGTATCAAGTAATTGACTGCACTTCCTTCACTTTCATTAAAAACCAGTCAGGTGTTACTTGCTGATTTTTATTTTTTGGCTAAGGTTAGTCTAAACACCAGGATTTGATGCTTTAGTTTTCTGACTTAAACAATGCATGGAAAGAAGGAACATTTCATTTTACAGCTGAAATTTGGATCAGTATATTCTGGATCAGGACTATTGAGTATTTATGTCACCTCTTATAGATACAACCTGCAAAATGCACTAGAATTCTGTTGGTCGGTAAAGAATTTTGAAACCTTGGTTGGGCTCAAAAACTGTCTTTGGCTCATAGACTTTTCTGTAATTCTGCCTTTTCCCTCCTTTCTGGTTATCTCCCTCCCCC